GTTTTTGTTTGCGCTTTCTTGCCTCTGCTTTGGCTTTCTCTGCCCCACCTCCTACTGGCTGAGGGGTGGACCTACTACTAATAGCGAAATTGCTACAAATCGTTTTGGCCAAACTTGCTCGAGTTTATATTCTCGAACAGAGACTGCCTCGTGCCGGCTGCTCCGCAGTCATTTTTTCTCGCCTTTCGACATTCTAATTTAGCCGCGTTTCAAATATTTATGCGAACAAATTGAAATAAAAAGAGTTCCCTGTCCCGGACCCGGACCCGGACCCGGACCCGTCTCTCGGAAGCAATAAAAGCCAAAGCGTAAATATTTAGTGGTATCCGACTGGCAGCTCTTCTATTTACCCGTACATACCACCCCCCCTGCCACTCTGGCACTGTACAGGTATACATACACTTTCAGAGTCCTTACCCGCTTTAAATAGGGAAAAATATGAAATAAAGTGGTTCTCGAGGAGGAGGATCCAGCCGCACTTAGATACGACGAACATTTCATATTAAGCTCTGGCTGAGCCGGTGACTCTTTCTTGTTGCTGTGGTTTCCGAGCCTCCCATCCTCTCCAGGTCCTCCTGTGTTTGGCAAGAACCGCAGCTGTTACGCTTTGGCGGCATTCTGCTATAATTTATTGCCTCCTCCGCCCGCCATCCCGCCCCCTGGCAGGTGGGTTAGTGCCTGGATGGCTGGTGGATCGGCGACTGAGTAGGGTTCTGTCCCTGTATCTCTGTGTCTATGCGGTCCTCCCAGCTACAAGTGGCGTTTATCAACTGACAACTAGCTGGCAAATATCGGGACTGCGAGTGAGGGGTGGGTGCTGTCTCATTTAGGCCTTCTAATTGGAATTTATTGGGTGCGTGGGTGCAGCTTTAAAGGCTTAAAGTTATGCCCCACGAAAACATATTCAGTGGCAGAAACATCTGTGGCATTAATTGTTGTTTCAAGGGGATCACCGGATGCTGCGAGGAGCTGCAGTTTTCCGCTGTTGTTATTGTTCCCAATATATGCAATATTTTGCGCCAAGGCAGCCTCCACTCCGCCCACGCTACCTCGTTCTCATATCAATATCATCGACAGCAGCTGAATCATAACATCGACAGTAGGAGGGGTCGATGGTCGACACAAATGAACGGGTCCGGAGTACCAGCAGAATATTGAGTCGTAACTGTGTCGCGAAAAGCACACACTCGAACAGTGCTGCTCGCAATAATAGGGTCCCTCTGAAAGAGTTCAGTCCCCCTGCCAGCTGCTAGCATTATGACCCGGGCTGTACAGAACGAAAGCCTTTAATCGCCGGCAACATATTTGATTTTAATATTCATGTGGCGTCCTCATAAATTCACAACAAAGAGCGCAGGGACGAGCCACGAGGCCGCGCCACGTATGGGGGCATTAACACACAGGCTCCACCCCTTCGGCCCACAGTGCTGTGTTATTATCAACTCGCCGGTTTCGCGGATGAATTAAATCCGAGGCGGGTGCTTCTTTGACATTTTCAGGCTTCGCAGGCTGGAGCTGCTGACTCGCCCACGCCCGTGGCCTGGCCGTTTGTGGCGAACGGAACGATGATAGCTGGCGGGCACAAATCACGAGTCATGCCAGACGCGGCCGAGTGCCCATTAGAAGCGGCATTTCAGTATTTCCTTCTAATTTGGGTATTTTTACTCTCGCCCGTGTCCAGGCAACCCTCCGGCGCCGTCCTTATAATAATAGTGCCCGAAGACCCCTCTGACGGCGTAATCTAGCCGTACTTCCGATTACACACGATCCGTGTTTGCGCCGCTCAGCTGCTTAAGCTCCTGGCTTGGCGCCCCTTTAAAAAAGCGCCTTCACGTATGAAGTAGGGTGTGAGTTTCATGCGGGCACTTCGACGAACCACCCCGTGGTTCAGTGGCCGGCTCTCGTGCCTTGAAAGAGAGGCAAGGACACACTCGCAGGGCTACACAGGGGAGGGAGGCCTAAACTCCAGCCATGCATTAAAGTTGAGAAGCCTGGAAGTTTCTCGACAGAAATATTAAAAACTTTCGCTCTCGGGAAGGCAGTTGTAGCTTAAAATATCAAATATTAAAGATGTGGCACGGCCTTTCTCTTAGTCCATGGCACTGCTCATTACAACAACTGCTCTCCGTGCGGAGCTGAAAGGCATGGTGGGGTGCTGCTGACGGCACTGACACCCTTTGCTTCCGCCAGCCCACCGCCCGTCCTTCCGTCCGTCCTTGTCCCAGCCGGCTCTGTCAGCGTGGAGCACTTCAAAAACTTAACCGTTAGGCATGTGCGTGATTATCTTTCTGCTGCTGCTGCTCGGACAACAACAACAAGTTAGGGGGGTGGTGGTGGGCAGCAGCAACCCTCGAAGGCAACAATTGCGCGCTGACCCAGTTACCCGGCAACGACAACAAAGGCGCCAGCAAAGGAAACGCACTGAAAGAGAGACAAGCCAGCGGAAGGAGAGGAGGTGGTGGAGGCGGAGGCGGGGACTGAAAAGGCACATGTCATCATAGAAATCAGTGAGTGCCCAGAAAACTGCCCACGCCCTCCGGCAGTGGGGCGTTGCTGGAGCGGGCAGGGCAGATCAAGGGGGCGGGGCTGGGAAAATTCATTAAAATGGCACAGAGGCGAGACAACAATGAAACGGTCCACTTGGGTTCGTCCTCCTCCATTCCACTCCACTCCACTCCCGTCCGGGAAAGTGGACAACGGCTTATCGTTCTGGCCATATGTGCCACGTTCTGGCCACTCACACAAAGGCAATGGGCAGAAGGGTGCTGCAGCACAGGACTAATCAAATATTTAGCATACTTTTTAGAAAGCATATTAAAATAACATTTCCGGTCAGCTTGGCAGAAAGGAAATCGTCGCAAGCCCAGTCGTCGGTACGGGGCATTAGCCCGGTTATCTGAACCGTGTAATGCACACCAGCTTACAAACTGGGAAAAGGAGGTCCCACACAGCGACCACGTGGGGGAGTCCCCGTGGCATGCGAGCGGGCGCCTCTTGAGGGAGCGTTAATGTGCCATAACGAATGCATTAGAGACTCGTACTAAGTAAGGCGAGCAGTTAGTTTCTGGCGGGAACCCTTTCCGCCCGAGAGTGGGGCATTTAAAATTTAATTACCCGCTACGGTAAGGCAGTAAGCCGGCATCCCCCGAAGCGGCGAACCCCAGTGTGCATTACCCTGCTTGGGCAGAGCTCGCTTTTTTTCCCCAAAAAACGTGCTACAGTTTTCCGACTCGGAAAACATATGTTCGACAGCAACAATGAACGCTGCTGCTGATATCATTACTCTCTCGCGGCACGCACACTTGCACACGCAGACGCAGGACCCAGGACCCACTACCCCGCCCTCTGTTTTCGGGCTTTTTGGCTGCTTTTTGGATATTATCAAGTGAAGTGCTTTTGCGGCTCGGGAGCGAGCCGTGTCCTGGTCTATCGCCCACACCCTGCTCCTATTACCACATGTGGTTTTCGTATTTAAGCTAATTCCTCGACTGGTGGGGGGCGGCGAATGCGGCCCATAAAAATAAAAAAGCCAACAACCAACACCAAATAACAAATAACAAATAAGAAACAACAAAGCAGAAAGCAGGAGCAAAGCAAAGCCATCAGGCAAAAAGCAAATAAGCCAGGAGCAGGAGCGGGAGCAGGAGCAGGAGCGATGATAAGCCAAGTGGCGAATTCAAGCGTAGTCAGCATTGATAGCGGATGTTGCCAGGAGGGGAGGTTGGTTAGCACGGGCAGGGGGTGGGGCATAAAGGTGCCTACTTCACACAAAATTACCCTTTTCAATTTGTGCGGTGTGCGGGGTGTTCGTCCTTCCCTGGCTCGTCCGCTCCCACCGCTATCGTTTATTGACTTTTTGTCATTGCCGCTAATGCATAGCAGCAGGATCTGAACAAACACACTCTGCGGAGCCCCACCATCTGCTCCCCTCCCCTCCACACGCATCCTGGCCAGGACAATGCCGCCAGCATCAGCAGTAGTTGAAGTCGCAGCTACGGCTGTAGCAGCTTTATTTTTATGGGGCGCATTACATTTAATGTTTGGCTTTTCTCAGTTGCTCCCGGAGCTCTCTGGGAATCGGAATCCAGCTCGGCATCCAATTCAGACGCCACACTGCGGGAAAAAGAGTGAAGTCTAACAATCTACTATATTTATTTGGTCTTTGAGATTATACTACATACTTTCATTATTTATTAAACCTCTAGTTTATAAAACCTCTTCCCTATGGTCCTGACTTTGGTCCTGACTTGATATTCGCGTTTTCAGTGGAGCTGCAGGCTCCTTCTCCTTTCTCCTGCTTGTGTGAGTGCGGTAATTAAGTGTCACATGTAATTACAATACACTCATGTGCTTTGTAATTAGAGTTTAGCATTGCAATAAAGCAGGAAGAATGGAGCGAAAGGAGCGCAGCACATCCAGCCAGGATGGCTAATTCAAATCATACTAATAGTGATTTTTGGGGCTAACCAAGAGGGAGGGCGGCGGTTTATTGTTTATGAACCCGATCCACTGGGAGTGGTCAGGAAAGCTTAGCTAACAGTGGATAATCACTAGCTGCAGTAGTCCACTCACTTGGATCCTTGTTGATTTTCACCAAACTCGAAGCCCAAACCAGCCCGGGAGAGCAGTGCAAACGGCCCTCGAAGCTGCGGGCCTGGGGAACCGCTGTAATTTATTTAACTTGCGTAAACATTAAATATTTATATTGTTCTCTCTCTCTGTCTATTTTCTCTTTTTATGTACCGCTACTGCTACTCGTTACGTATATATTTCATCTACCAACTACACACCACTACCACTGAACAAAACCATCTGAACCACCTTCAACTTCTGTCTGTGCCTGCCCTGTGCCTGTGCCTGTGCCCTGTGCCACAAATAAACTACATAACTTGCAAAATAAAAACATATTAACCGACTGCCTGCCTGCTCCTCCTCCATCTGCATCTGCATCTGAATCTGGATCTATGTCCATTTGTGTGTCTCTGACTATCCGAATCCAGCGCGGAAGCGACGAACTTTTGAGTCAAGCAGCAGTCATGGCGCCTGCCTCCGACAACAACAACCAGGACCTGGCCACAAAGAAGGCGAAGTTGGAGCCGGGCACCGTGCTGGCCGGCGGAATCGGTAAGTCTAGCTCTCCTCTCTATACCTTTATCCTTGCTACCTTCTGTCTCTCTGTCCGCCTCTTGCCTATGTCTTTTACATTTTACCTTTTACCTCTTGCCTGTTACCTGTTACCTGTTACCTTTGTCTTGGCTAAGCTCTTCCCTTAGCTTCTTCTCCCCTGAGCGACGCTCGTGCCAAGTGCATTTTGCAGCCATAGTCTTGGGCCTTGTTGGGTTTGTCTGCCAATTAACCAGGCCCGCCGGGACGCTAAGCCACACACAGGAAGAACAGAATAGAATATGCTGGCTGGCTTGAAAGTGTATAATATCAGGGGCAGAGTGGGCTAGTTCTCGCAGTGCAGCATTAGACTTAAGCCTTCGACTTGGCCACAAAGTGTTCGAGGCACTTGAGCAAAGTCCGATTGAAGGCGACCGCGCTTTGATGCCCATATCCAATTAACCCACTAATTAGCATGGAGGGCGGGCGGGTCGGCAGCGAAAACATTCGGCTCGCACCAGCTTTGTGCTACCGTGAAATTATTACGCTAAAATGTTGGCGTCCGCTCAGAAAATAAGCTGCCTGCCCCCAGCAGTCGGTGGCCAGTGGTCAGCACAGGCTGACTTCTGCCACGCACTGTGTAGGCACATTAATTAGCCCCACTACCTACCCGCCCCTCTGCACCACGGATACCCGCACATACCGAAAAGCCACCCTGCATATGGCAGACCGCCGCAAAGTAATAAAGCTAATCAAAAACCGCACACCGACCCAGAAACCCAACAAAAACATAGCGAAACCGAATCGAAACCAGCAGAATGAACCACACATTAGGCAAATATTTGACAGGTTCGTAGGCGGCAAAGGACTCTGGCTGCAGCCGCCCACAAAAATCCAGCGAGCCACAAAATGATTGGCCATGCAAACAAATCAATAGGCTACAATTTCCGCTGAAATTCAAAAGTAATCGTCCGCCTATCCAGTAGGATGGAACGGGTGGCGATTGTTTTGCTTTTTTGGTGCAGGGCGAATTTAATTAGCGCGACATGCAGGTTCAGAGTTCAGAGTCGGCAGGGGGCAGGAGGCAGGAGGCCTTCGATATCCTTTTCCGGGCGCGCTCTGCCTTCAAAATGCTTTTGAAATTGTGCTGTAATTAACAGAATTTGTCGCCGGCAGCCACATTGCCGGATGCTGGGCGAGTATTAGCCAGGTGGAGGGAGCAGGGTCCACGGCCAATGGGCTGGAAGGACGGGGAAGGACAATCGATGGAGAGCGAAAAAACGTACGCAGAAGCGGAAGCAAAATATTTATTTATTACTTTACAAAGGACTTTTCTATTAATTAAAAAGCAACAAGCAGACAGACCGCTCGCACGCACACCCGCCGCCCGTCCAGGTGGAGGAAGGGGAGCTGTTGGCTCTTCACCCTTCACTTTTGACCATTGTTGGAGCGCAAAGCGCACAGACGAAGGCCTTCGGCCAACGGCAGTTTGGTGTCCTGGCCCGGCCAGCTCTCGCACCCGACCCCCGACCCTTTTTTGACACCTGCCACCTGCGGCCATTTTAATTTTCCCCGCAAAGTTCTTGTGCAAACACACACATACACGCTCGCAAAGAGCTCTGGCTCCGGCTCGGGCTCCGGTCCTGGCTCGGGCTCTGGCTCCATTAAAGCCGCGCCCAAAGGACGCAGGACATTGTCGATGCGACGGTGAGGCAGAAATTCGTTTTTGTGGGGAACGCCACTTAAAGTTCTTAGCGCACACAAAGCCACAGCCGATGCCAAAAATAATAACAAAAGAAATTGCTAAATAAATGTGTAAGGACACTTTTATTGCGCTGCAAGCGCCAATACATGTTGGAGGGTCCTGCCACCAGGACACGAGGGAGGTGGCTAACAAAGGCCAGACAAGTAAATAGCTGGCATCCAAAAAGCAACAATGAGCATTGTGTGCCTCTGCGGTCGAGCCTTAGATAAACACACGCACCACACCATACCACAGTATAGCACACCACACGCCTCCCTCCGCCCTCGCCCTCACCCTCGCACTTTGTCAATTGTATTTGTGCTCCACAGCAAACCAATACATCGATGGCTGGGCACACACACGCCCGCGTCCGTTTCCGATACACGGCTTAGCGCAGGACATGCAACAAATTTTTCACGTAAATGTAATAAAAACACTTTGGCATGTGCAGCAGTGGCGGCGGCAGTAGTTTGGGGCAGAGGCTGCGCGCCACGCCCTGCCACTTGACGTGAGTGGCTCGAGTTTCGGCGGGGTGTTGTGCGTGTGTGGCGGTGGTTGGCAGGAGCTTAAAGGCCTCGCCGGCAGAGTTTATTCAATGCCCGCAACCCGGTCTGCTAATAAATAGTTTCGCTTGATTTATTTGATTTTTTATTATTAGGAATATTTTATGCCGAGTGTACGAGCCCCCAGGGAGTCCAGTCGCCAGTCACCACTCACCAGCCGAGGGATCAGATCTACAGTCAGAGAAACCGTAACAGGTTCTGGGCGGGCCCTGATCGGTACACCCGGCCAGTTATCCTGCCAATCTACAGCAACCTTAGGGTCCTGGCATTAGCTCCGAGCAAGCAGATGAATGTTAAAAGTTTTCGCTAGAATAATGGCCTTTGGCGGAAGGTAGCTACCTGGCCGTTTCTCTGCGTGGAGGACATTGCGTGGCCATGTCGCGTGTCCGAGGGAAACATCAACAGCGTGGCCAGGACTTGCTTTTGTTGTCGGCACACACACTCGGCTCACTCGCGCCATAGCCAATTCAGTTTGTTGTTTATTGTTACGGCATCCATGCATGCACGGCCACCACGCTGTTTGTGTAGTCCACCAACATTTGTTTGTTTATTGACCGATTTTGGAGGCTTAATGGTCAGCTCACCACCTTTGGCCCGCCGGAAAAAGAGAAAACAAGGACGCCGCACAGCTGTTGCCCCAGCCATGCGTGTGCAGTGTGTTCTCTAGCTCTTAGCCGCTAATTCCTTGTCCAGACGGCCTCGGAGAGTGCTAGAAAAAGTTAAAATTTGTATATGCAATCGGCGCTTTTATTATGTCCTCCGACTGTCGACCTTAGGTCCTCGAATCAGCTGTCGCACTCCCGCCAATTTATGGCTCAATAGATGGCCCATCCCTTGGCCCAGCACTTAAACGCTTTTATTGCCATAACCAATAAGTCGACAGTTTGGCGGGCGGAGTGTCCTGCGAGTCCTGCGCGTGCCGTCCCGTCCCGTCTCGGAATATCATTTGCACGTCTCCGGGCTCGGACTCTGGGCACTGCGTTGCGTGTAAATATTTTTGCAGTCAATAAAATAATATTGTCATAATTCCGTCCCATCCTCACTGCTCGCCACTTTCGCCTCTGCGCAAATATTGAGACTGAATTGAAAGGAGTATAAAAATCCTGCCAGACCAAAGTCAAACAGATTGTCAACTGGTTTGACTCCCCATGGCTCTGGCTCTGGGCCTGGCTCGGTCTCTGGCTGGATGATTGCGTGAGAAGCTATTTATGGCAGTCAGTGTGCTCGAGTGCGGTCAGTGGCAGCTGACTTTGGCCGAGCCGTGGGCAAGATTAAATTAAGCATACGCCCTGTTGCCGTGGACTTTGTGCAATTTCCAGTATTTGAATCGGTAGATGGGCTTCAATTGGAATTCATTCTGAGGGCCTAAGCTGCATACCTAGTTTTTCAGAAAAGCTCACTTGCCTCAGACAGTACTCTCGCCATTCCTTCAAAAGGAAAGAAAGGTGTAGACAGCCCTCTTTGAGGAGGCCGAGGCGGTGGAAAACTACTTTCGTAATTGAAATGTAATTAAAATCCGTAATCTCTAATCGAAACTCAGAGGAGTGCGTTGACTTCTTACGCGTCTCCCAGCCACCCCTCACGGTTTTTAATGAATTGAGTTTCTGGAGGTTAGAGGCCTGCTAAAAATCGTTATTTTGTGGAATGTCTGGAGCAAAAAAAATTAACAGAGCAGCTGGAACGAAAAGCAAACAGAGGCAGTAATGCCCGCCGGCATTGAGTTTCATTTGCTGCCAAAAAATTATGCCATGATTGATTATGCGTGCGGCAAATGTTTAAATTAAAGAGCAGGCCCGGCTCTGGCTGAGCAAATATCATTAAGTCGTTGTGCACACACACTCCGAAGGAGCTGGGAGGGGCACCGCTGACGACGACGTCGCCTCGGAGCCAGCCAGACACGTAAGGACACAAGTTTGTCCAACAATTTAAAATTTATGATGTGTGAGCTTGTAAAAATCTAATTTACTGCCGCATAATTAAAGGCGCTCGAACAGCTTTGTCTGCTCGTGTGTAGACCGAGTGAGCTTGGATATTTATTCAAATTATATATGCGACTGTTGACACACCCTCGGCAAAGTTTGGGGGCGGAACCGAGGCACAACAAACACTGGCGTCAAACTCATATTAAATCATTAAATGCCGCCATGTAAGCATAAATTTAATTGTTATTAACAATCAGCACTTATTTGGGCCTGACCGCGCCCACAGGCCTCCCCCCTCCAGGCGCATCCGCCCCCGGGCGAGTCCTTTTCTTTTGTTCGAGTCGCTTTTTCCATTCATTTTCATTTACATTTTTCGTTTGGGCTTCTGTGTTTGCTTTATGAATTTAAATTGTCATTAATTAACTTCGTGGTGCCTGGTGGGCGGGGGAAAAAGGATCTGGGGGGGCGCAGGCTCGCAGAGCATATTATTACACATACGCCGCAGTGGTCGAGGACGGACCGGCTGACCATTCATTACCAACTCACCCGACCATCATCGTCCGAACTCAATTACAGTTTGTAAACTTTTCAATTAGCTATAAATAGTTTATTTATGTATATTTTCGTGCAACTCATGGCGAGTGTGAGTGCGAGTTGGAATGGCTTTCCCTCCTCCTGCGCTTCCTGTCCGGATTCCTTTCGGCGCGTGCGGTCATTAATACTGTTGGGCTTTGGCCCTGCGTCCTTGCAGCTCATTTCAACGTCCAGTGAAGCGAATGATTGCTATTCATATCGTCGCACCGGGCATTGACAGTCAACAAGCATCGCCCGGCAGCATCATCATTATCGAATGCAAATTTTATCGCTGCACTTTTTCCAGCCAGAGTCCTGTTGTTAATGCATTTTGGCCCTGTTGACTTAGCATTGTATTATAATTATCCTGCCAAAGAAGCAGCTCCCACTGCGGCAGCTGTTTTGCCGTTTTGCCGGCCACGATCATGGCTTTCTGCCAATTGCATTCGCTGTTTGCTCCGCAAATATTGGCGCTGACAAACAATGCTTTCCGCTTTTATACTATTCCACTCTCGATGTTAATTAAAAGGCAGCACTGCCACAACTGGCGCAACAAATCCGCCCTGGGGCGGCTCGCCGGTTGGCAGTTTTTTCTGGTAGTCCTAGTTGCAGTTGTAGCTGCCGGGCTCTCGCCCTGAACTTCCGGTTGACGTCATCCGCTGTCTGCCGTCTTGCTTTTCAATTATTTGGAATGCCCTGCGAAGGACCCGGAGGATCCTTTTTTTCACACCATCAGTTGCTGCGATTTGGAACAAATCTACCAGAACCATAGAACCATAGAGTGGCTGGTCGCAACGTCAAAAACGGCCACTTTTTTATATTTCCCCTGCTTTCCGCTGACAACTTCATCATGCATGATAGATACTTGTACATTTTTTCTCCGCAGTCGTCCCTTTTTCGGCTCCGGCCAGCGGCGTTTGATTTGTTGTTTGTCTTGTGCAGGACATTTCCGGCTGCGTTCCTGCTGCTTTTATTTAGTTTCGATTTTCAGTTCTATTCGCTGTCGTAGTGGCAGTCGTAGCCCTATTCGTTTTCATTTTTTGAACGTTATTTATAGTGAGTTTTTTGGCGGCCGCCGGGGGCAGGGCGGTCGGAGTGATGGAGCAAATCTCATCGCTCTGCAGTCGGCCATTGATTTTTAATAAATTTGTGAGCTGCGCCGGGCTGCGCTGGGCTGCGTCGAGTGTCAAACTACAAGGACCGCACAGGTCCTGGCCCTCCTGCATAATTTCGTTTCGGCTTCATTTCCGTTTCGAACTAATCAAAAAGTGTAATTTCCGATTAGTTGTATTCAGCATTGACCGGAATAGGAGGGCTGGCTGCCAGTTGGCCTCTCGAGAGTGCACACTGCCCCTCGAAGTTGGCCCGACTTTTTATTGGGGCTCGGGGCACAAAGCCTTTCCCAGAGTGGTCGAGTTTCAGGAGCAGTGGCCCGCTTTCTTGCATTGTGTGGTAAACTGGCACATTGACCCTTGGAGTCTGGCTCCAAGGTGAGCAGCGCGAACCGATTCGAGTAATGACCCTTTGCGTTATGAGTTAGGGGTGTGACTTCCCAAAAAATGTAGCTCACGTCTCTAAAGCGGAGCTATTAAAGTTTTAAAGTGTGGAACCGGTCTTTATTGGAATTCCAGGCCACGTCCAATCGTGGCCTATCTCTGGCCATGTGTCGGCTTGTTTAGCAAACACGGGAGTGCGAAAATCGGAGGCAACTGCATTTAATTTGCATATGAAAAGCAGACTGTCCTCCTCCTCTCCGGCGGACGGAAAAAAATTTAAAAAAAATGGCAAAACCAACACATTACCAGGTGTTGACTAAGCGCTGGAAAAAATACTCCGATTTGCCAGAAAGACTGCTGAAATTAGTCGGCCGTTGTTCATGAAAATGTGCTAGGATTTGGGGATTTCGGGAGCCGCATTACTGCAAAATAACTATCAGAGCTTAGAAATTAACAATAAATATAATTTCGGGAAACAATAGCGGTGGAAACCGAACTGGTTCTGTTTTTTGACAGTGCTATCGAGAGGGACATGTGCCGGAACGAGGCTGCACTCGTTGCCAGGGCCAAGAGCTGCCTAAAATCCCATTTGTTCTGCACCACTCAGTGGGCTGTGGGTGGCCAGCCGCTTTATTTATGCAAAAATAACAAACAAGTGCTAGGAAGGTGGTGGAGGTGGGAGGAGCAGGAGCACCAGCACCAGCAGCAGAAGCTGCAAAACGACCACGACGAGCTCCTAAAAGCCTCAAACGTTGTCTGTGTACCGGACATTGTCGCCGTGTTGCTGCTGGATTATTCACAGCCGTTGAAAGTGTGCAATGAATGAATTTATGGCAGTGCCCGCCTCCAGTCTCCAGCCTCCCGCCTCCGCCCCTTTAAAGCGGGCTTAACAGAGCAAAGTGTATACAAATGTGGCAGCGTTTGGCCATGTTATCAACGTTTTTATTTCTGCCACGTCCACGTCCACGTCCCATCCCCTGGTGCTCCTTGGTGTGGTGCAACAAAGGCAGCCGGCAAATAAAACCCGAAAATAAACAAATTAAGTGAGGCGCGGAAGCGGAAGTGCAGACGGCACTGGTGGCCATTAAGTGAGCCGGAGATGGCCCGAAAACAGGCAGATAGGAGGACGGTGGGCAGGAGAGCAGGAGAGACCTGCAGGGACTGTCAGCTGTTAAATATTTCAATCGGTTAAACAACCTTCGCTCACTCCCATTTTCTTTCCTCCAATTGCAGCCAAGGCCTCCAAAGTCATCCACTTGCGCAACATTCCAAACGAGTCCGGCGAGTCGGACGTGATTGCCCTGGGTATTCCGTTCGGGCGTGTGACCAACGTGCTGGTGCTCAAGGGCAAGAACCAAGCCTTCATCGAGATGGCCGACGAGATCTCCGCCACCTCGATGGTATCCTGCTACACAGTCAATCCGCCCCAGATGCGCGGCCGCATGGTCTACGTGCAGTTCTCCAACCACCGCGAGCTGAAGACGGACCAGAGCCACAATGTAAGTACACAACTGTCTACGCTTTTTTACATTATATTGTATTCTTGCTTAAAATCCTTTGCTATGTACATGTTTCACCTGATTATTCAATGCCCATGCCTACCTTAAGATATCCGCTACCCAAGTCCCCACGGGGGTTTCCTTATCGAATTGTGGATCGATGTGGGAGATACCCATGAGAATTCCGTGGTAGGGCCTATATGGGCCACGTTGAAAACTCTATCTCTGCCAATAGGCTTCCGATTCTAGAGGGGAATACCTTAAAACATTCGTAGATCGATTCTCCACCAATCTGCATCAAAACATGAGAGGGAAATATTTTTTAGGTTTTTAGTCAATTTTCTGGGGGCTCCCCATTAGAATTCCATGGTAAGGCCTATATGGGCGACCACCACCCCACCTTTACTTACCATTATTATGTGTTATTATTGCCAGGATTCGTTAGCCATTCTGGGTAAATGATACTCATCTAAGGTATAATAATTTATTTAATTTCTCACTTGACGCACATCTCTTACTGACTCGCAATGATGAGGAATCATCCGTCGGCCTAACTTCTTTGGTGAAAGGGGCAAAGGCCCCAAAACCCCTATTTGGAATTGGGAAAAGTTCCTGGCTTAAGTGTTATTAATGTGGCAATTAAGTTTTCGGTCTTTATTTGCGGAATCTATGGGCAGTGTGGGTGGCGATTGGGCTGGCAACCCTCGTATTTATATGCAAATGTCGGTCGGCTGCGAGCGGACCTCTCTGATTAATTGCACTTCTAGGATAGGCCGACTTAAGCCCGTCTCTTGAGATATTTGGACTTGGACCCATCATAAATGTACGAGCACACACGGCTCTATTTGTGGGTGGTCTAAACCAATTTCTAATTTTAATTTCGTAAGCCACAAAGTCACTGACAAAGTTTAAAAAGCTTTCAAATAAATACACATGGCCGCACAAACACAAACACCAGCACCACCATCAGCCCGGGCTCTGCCACACACGTGTCTGACAAAAGCAGTAAAATGCATAGTTTTTGGGGTTTTGTGGACAACCCACACAGAGAAATGCCGTAGAGGACGGTTGAGGAAGGGGGTGGTGGTGGGGGATAGCAAAAGGATACATAAATACAAATGAAACCACACGCATACCAAGGAGACAAACGAATAAGCAGACGGACGGCACGCCGGGCGGGCCTTGAGCCATAGCCATAGCCAGAGCTGAACCAGAGATGCCAGCTGCTTAGCTCTCGAAGTCAAAAGCATATTTTGATTACTTAAATGAAAATGGCGATGGGGTGGAAGGGGCTAAAGGGGCTAGAGGGGGAGACAGAAAGCCACAGGGCCAAGAAAACCCAAAGCGAGCTTGTCACCTTCTGTGGGCTGTGTGCCACCTGATGGCGATGGGTGGGTGGAGTGGGTGGTCGGGCAGCAACCCCCGAAGCAAACTACTTAAAAAGAGATCGCAACAACAGCAGCAGAAGCAGCAGCAGCAGCAGCAGCAGCCAAAAAAGGTTAAGAGGCTGCAGCAACATGGGGCCCAACCCAGGTGGCAAGCTTTTCAGCGGCGTGTGTGCCGGAGGGGTTGAGGACTCGGATTTTTGTTCGACATCGCGTTTATATGGGAATCATTACGGGTTGCAACACTGTGGGCTTAAATATATTCAATCCTGCACAGCGAAGACCGGACAAGGCGAGAACCCTCGCCATAGATTGCGGCGCCACTGCCGCCTATGACTCGGATGACACACCAGCAACAATGGGGCTACACACTCCAGGCCAGACAATACAGTTACATTTCACTGATTACCTTTTGGATGTGGCCAGTGCCGGTGCTGGTGTGCGGGTGGCTTTGGCCTGGCTATGTGTGCGTGGGCAGATCTCTCTTGTTAACTACTAATCCTAGTAAAAGGCCCTGTTGTTGGCCCGCAGACGACGTGAGACAAGTCAAACTAGTGGAAAGGCAGAGTCAACGCCGTAGCTCCTCTTGTGAGGCACAGGACGAGTGACGAGGAGGAGGAGTGGGGTTCTTAATCTTGTGTGCGCCGCTACCAACATATTTATACAATTTCTCATTTCATTCAGTTTGTTTCTTTCTCGGGCCCATGGCCATTGTGAAGACGTCTTGTGCTGGAGTTCGGTCCTTGCTGTGTGGCGCCCTCGTCCTCATTGGCTTCTTGTGTCTGGCGGCCCACCTGTGCAGCATTCTGTTGATTGTTTGGTGTCCCGGCTGCGGACTGTTTCTTTCTTTGTAGTTCTGCGTCATATTTCCCCGCCTGTCAGCTGCTGTTGGCGCCTTCTAGTCGCTTCTCATGCTGCTGCTGCTGCTGCTGCAATGTGGCAAGCTTCAGATAAGATGCTTAGCGAATTGTTGTCAGCCAACTCAAGAAATCACGTGAGCAGGAGGCGGGCGGTGGCACTAGCTGTCGTCTGCAACTGCAGAGCGCCCTCCGGAGAGAAACTCTTAATTCCCTAGTTAGTTGGGTATTTCCGCGAATTCCAAATTTATGACAATTTCCTGTGTGTTTGGTTTCATTTGCCTTTGTGCGCTTTAAGTTCTCTCGGCAAAGGGGTCGGTTGTCGGGATCGACAACATTCTGTTTCATCTACGCCCATGCCCATCCAGGAGACAAATCCGCTGTCGCTGCCTGGCCCTAGGGGATTTTAACCCCAACAGCCGGAGCAAGGCGACACACGCACCTGAAGGCAAAACCTGCTACGACAGCAGCAGCAAATCAGCAATACAGGATTTCCAAATCATCTCCCCAGGACCTGAACCTCAACCTGAATCTGAGCCAGAACCAGTGCCAGAGCCAGAGCTAGCCGCACACATGTGCGATTTCAACGGCTGAGTGATTGGCTGGCGTAGAAAATAAAACAAATGGAGAGGAGATGGGGGGCAGGGCAGGGGAGCCAAGCAACCAAGCACCAGAAATGAAAAATCCTGTAGAATACTTTGCAGCAATCCCACCCGACTGCTGCCCCACTACCCGACTACTCGACTACCCGACTTCGTCTGTGACATTTATGTTGGCAATTTGGCAGTCAACCGGCAATGCTGCTGTTGCCTTATTTTTTGCTCCTGCTCTTGCGTAACAGGATTCTAATATGTCATGTCGTTGGGATGTCCTTTCACCTTGCTATCCCTTTCCTCCGCCCCCTCCTAGAGCTCGCTCCCCAGATTCATCCTGTTTGTGACTATTTTCGTGACGTCTTACTTTGCGCTGCGTCTCAGTCTCCATGCCCGGCCTTGTTTGGTTTCCTTGCTCCGGCGACCCTTGACTAAGATGCCAGAAATGAAGATAAATGCACTGGCCCTGGAAGTTCACGCGGCTACGACCGCAACGAGCTGCCCACAGAAACCGAAGAGCCACTGAAGCAGTGAGCCATCCAGCCATCCAGCCATCCGACCCCCTGCCTCCTCGGAGCCCAACCCAGCAACCCCAGAGGTCCGTAACTGGCATTGTTTAGTGGGTTTCAAATTTGACATGTGATTGTTCTGTGAGTGGTGTGTGTGTGTGTGACTGTAAAGGGCGCATCTGTTGCCTCGTGGGCGAGTTTTGTTTTCGGGTAATTTTGATAAATTAATTTTTGAGCCCGGCCCCTTCACGGCCAAAAAGGGTTGACAGCCACTCGGGGAAACGGGGCCAGCCGAAAAGAATTAAATTGGAATATAATTCCCCAACAAAGGCCGCCAGCCAATCCCCGGCCTAATCTCCTGTGTAACATTTGCCAGCCTGCGCTTCAGATACCTGGCCATCAGTCCTGAGGCCTGATCTTCATCCACAGAGGCAGGAGACTCCACTTGTTATGGGGCTCCCAGTCATCAATGAGTTCAAAAGCGCTACAATAGGCTGTGGCATTGTTGGTGGCACTTTAGTAAGTACCTTGCAACATGTCCATGGATACTACCATACTAGAGTTGAATCGCATTCCAATGCATTTCCCCGAAGAGCGCTTGTTGTCAGTGTGGCAGGTGTTGGATTTCCCGGCGGTGATGGGGTTACCTTGTAATTAAATTAAATTGCAGGCTTCGGAGCAGCACCGTTTTGCGGACGCCTCCTGCCAGAAACAAACAGTGGAAAACGCGCCAGAATCACACACAAAGAAACCAAAGTGAGGGGCCAATCGTCAATTAATGGGCCGCACATAGCACATGGGGAGTGGAGCTGGGTGGGGATTAACACCTGGAGCAGCCCAGAAACTAATACAAATGTCAAGCGATTAAGCCACAAAGGATCAAGCTGATTAGCAAAGTCCATGTCTAAGTCCGTGCTGTCTGATGTTCGATGTCCGGGCTCTGGAACGTCTATAAATAACACGCCAAAGGGGATAAAAGCCGTACATTTGATTTGGTGTTAATAATATGAGCCCAGCTCAGCGACACTGCCTCAGTGTGTTATTTAATTTGTTGCTGCCTGCTGACAGGCTGTCACTGCCTCGTCTCCTGCCTCGTGTGGAGTGGAGGGGAGAACAACAAGCTTATGGAGCCTTTCTTTCGGCGCGCTATTTGTCTAACTCTCAGACGTGTGCAGTTAAAGGATTTCGCCCAGGCAAATAACTTGGAATTTCACATATGCCGTGTGCCGAGTACCGTCTTCTGCTATCTGCTATCTGGCATCCGATGTGTGTGTTTTTCTATGCGATGCCTGCTCTCCTACTCCTACTCAGTGTTGTTCTTTCCTGTTTTCCCATTTTATTTCCACATTTACTTTTCCCGCTCCGGCGAAAGCAAAAGTAAGCTAATCTTATTGTTTCCACAACAGCGTCAGCACCACGACCAGAAGAATCGCGTATGTCCTCCTCCTGCCTCTCACCTCGTTCCTGATCCTTTGAGTTATGCGGACTCGAGTGTTTGTTTATACTCTTGCCGCTGCGATAAAGCTTTTTGCCATTTTGATTGGCGACGTGTTGAAAATGGATTTAAATTACATTGTTTCGCAGTACGTGAGAGAGAAGGCTTGAGGCTGAGGCTAAGGCTGAGGCTGAGGCAGTGACGAGTGTGGAACTGAAATGTCTGCCGAAAGCAGACATCCCGAAAGCGTAAATCCCAAAACCTAACCTGAAAATCCAAAACCGACAACTGACAACTTTATGTTCGCGCATACTGACTTCTCCAGCTGCTCTGTAAATATTTTCATTGTATTGATTAGTTTTGCATTAAGGTTGCCCGAAAGTTAAGTGGAGGTGTGGAGTGTGCTTTCCCTGCCTTTGTTTTCCTCCGTTTTTGGACAGCGGATTGCGCTACTTTGCCTAACTCGTATTTATTTATGCCTTTTGGTTTATAGTCCACAAAAAGTATTTGCGGAATATTCCGGCAAGGCTTTTAACACACTCGCGCGGTTTCTATTTTTGTTTGCTTTCGCATAAATAAGACAAATATGGTTGCTGCTCCCTTCCTGGCCCAGCACTTAAAGCCACCATTCAGAAGCCGGCACCATCCTAAAGCCAGCAGCTTGGCTTGACCGTAAAAACCACCCAGCAGATAAACGACCCGCAGCAAAGTAATACATAATCCGGGCTCAGCTTTAAAACTTGACTGCACAAGTTCATAACTTGTAGTGGTGGTCCCCGAAAAAGTTTCCTCTTTCGGCCCTCGGCTGGAGGACTCTGGGGCAGATGAGGTTTCTGCGGCCAAGTAGCGGAAGCCCACCAACTTGGTCCGGCCCCTTAAGCCGTTCAGCTTCAGCTCCGCAAAGGGCGACGACACTTCTTGGACTCCTCGAAGGACTCGCCGTGCAGTTTCAAATGTGCCTGAAAGAGAAGCGACAAGCCAAGGTGCTCGGTGTGACATTGCAATGAAAATAAGCTTCCTGCCCCGCTTAGAAAAAACGCAGTGCTTGCCAGCGCTGAAAGACAAAAATATTTATGCAGAACCTTAAGTGAAAGCGTCAATATTTTTGGTGCCTGACGTGCTGCGCACTTGTCAGCCATTTTTCAAGCGTCCTGGTCGAAAAGACATTAAAATCATAAAACAAATGCCATCCGGAGGAGGGTTTTCCGGCTGAACCCTAAAAGTTTGTCTGGCTTCTATTGGAGTCTTGGTCTTTAGAATATTGTGGTCTCTAGTCTGGAAGCAACAGTGTTCTATGAAAGAAAGCCTTTCCAACTTCGAGGAGCATGGGAAACACGCCAAATGGCTGGCCTTCCTACCAGCCAGCGATCGATAAATTTGCTTATCAGCAGTTTGTCGATACTTCTGGTTATCAAAGCATCGGCTTATCAGACGCGGCTTATCGCGAGGGCTTGAAAGGGGCAGAAGCGCCAAAGGGACGAAATTCCATCGATATTAAATTATAACAATGTGGTGTTTGTGCCAGTGTCCATGTGCGAGTGGCAAGGGGAGTTGCATATCTAATCAGGCCACAACGACAACAACTATAACAACACACTCGTGGAATGGGAGCGCACAATTGACTCATTAACAGGCAAAACCGCGACAAGCAAAGGCCCCTTCGAACACACTTTCCATACACTGGCACCCGCACGCCCACAACGATTTGTTGTGTTTAATGATGTTGCTGGTTGTGGTCCCAGAACTTTCCCCTCCTCCGCCGGCCCCACCTGGGTCCTTGTGTGCCTCTGTCTGTGCCTGTGTCCTGGAGAATATTTTGAACAGCTTAGTCTTATGACCATGGGATCGCCAATCCCGAATACCAATTATTGCCGGGCCATAAATACACCAAGCAGAAGTAGTGGCAGGGCCAGTAGGAGCCTTGTGCTTGAGACCAACGTCTGGGCAGGCGTTTTCTCCCAGTGCAGAGTGGCCCCAAAGTGGCCAGCTCTCCAGCTGTCAATGCAGAGCTATGCACAATTATCAAAGTGTGTAAACGCGTGACGATTTCCCACTTGACAGCCATTTAATAATGGCCGGGCTGACTGTTTAAGCTCGGCCAGTGGGATTGAGGGGCACACACTCCCCCACAATTACATTACAATTTTTACACAATCAACGTCATCGTCGCCATAATAATCAGGCAAAGTGAAGTATCACATTACGCTCAGCGCAAAGGAGCGGAAGGAAAGCCAAGCATTGGCATCCCACAGGCATCCCATCTCGGAGAAGAACAGCAATCGAACACGAAGCTCCGCATCATCATACCGGGCGAATGGCGAATGGCTGTGGGCCAAGGTACACAGCCTCGCACATGAACCCATGGCGTCCCGACGAGTCTAGGATGTGCTCGCAGATAGCCAAGCGGAGGACGCGGAGCCCGGCGCCCTGGCAATTCTAATCAATTTTTATTATTTTTACAAACTTTGGCAGCCAGCGGAGGGGGAGCTGATGTGGAAAACAAAACTCACGTCGACCTGATCTTTGTTTCCGAAGGCTGAGGAACTTATCTAGGCGAAGGAAGAACAAATGGCACGCCTGGGGGGATTGCTGGCAAGTTTTCCCCCCGCCGTCCATCCAGCTCCTCCTGCTGCTGACAAACGCACAAAACGCGACGTAAACGGGCGGGATGGCTGGCGGGTGTCCCGGGCAGACCCATCTCGGTGGGCGGCTGAATGTGTTACGGTTATGATTTTCGAAATCAAAATTCAGCACGAATAGGAATAAATTTACTTGGGAATGTCATTAAATTGTTTTCCGATAGAACGTGTATATTTCACGCAGGAACTTTTGTTGCTCACTAAGAGCGGCATGCGGGCAGGCATCCCCATTTCGGCAGGATTCCTCGAAAAATTTTATTACAGAAGCCCAGTATATTATTGCGATGCCTGATTGTATTGATTTTGATTGAGATTTATTTTGTTGTGTCTGCTGAGCGAGTGTCTGCATCTTCTTCGACCAAAATGTTTGTCTTGAAATGTAAACCAATAGGGTGGGCACAAGGATAGGTGACTGTACACTCTTGGTGGCTTCCTTTTCCTCCGATGTCCGCCCAACTGGGCAGCTGCATAAATTTTGTGCACTGCCCGCTATGATTAATGCGCGAAAGTTGGCGCCCCTTCGCTAATAAAAGTTTCCGCCAGCAAATTGACTCAAGTTCCGGTTTCCCCTTACTCTCTTGCAGAACTCGGTTGTCCAGAGCGACTACCGCATCCAGTCCCCGGCGGGCGGCTCGCCCCTGCCCCTCTGCGCCGCCACCAATGCCAGCAATAGCGCGAACAGCTCCGGCGACGGCAACAGCACCGCCGTGGCCATCTTGCAGAACAACACGAGTGCCGGAAACAACTCCAACTCCGCCGGAGGCCCCAACACAGTGCTGCGCGTGATCGTCGAGTCGCTGATGTACCCCGTGTCTCTCGACATCCTCCACCAGATCTTCCAGCGCTACGGCAAGGTGCTCAAGATCGTCACGTTCACAAAGAACAATTCATTCCAGGTGAGTTAGCTAGGCCAGGTAGCTATTAAGCGACAAAACATTAACCTTTGTCTCTCTGCCCGCAGGCCCTGATCCAGTATCCGGACGCCAACTCCGCCCAGCACGCCAAGTCGCTGCTGGACGGGCAGAACATCTACAATGGGTGCTGCACCTTGCGCATCGACAACAGCAAGCTGACGGCCCTGAACGTGAAGTACAACAACGACAAGTCGCGCGACTTCACGAACCCCGCGCTGCCCCCCGGCGAGCCGGGCGTGGACCTGATGCCCACTGCCGGCGGCCTGATGAACACCAACGATCTGCTGCTGATCGCCGCCCGGCAGCGGCCCTCCCTAACAGGTGATAAAATAGGTAACACCGACGGAACATTTTCCCGATTTTTCATTTGTTTTCCACGCTCCAAGTTGCAAACCACACACCAAGGCACACACACTTCGATTCCAAACTGTTTTGACTTTACACCTTCTATCGATTCGCTTAGAGCTTAAGTGGCATGCAACTTACCCGACGACAGCCGTTGAGCCCCCGACTAACCACATTTTGTTACCACTGTTTCAGTCAACGGCCTGGGAGCCCCCGGAGTACTGCCGCCGTTCGCCCTCGGCCTGGGCACTCCGCTGACCGGCGGATACAGCAGCGCCCTGCCCAACTTGGCGTTCTCGCTGGCGAACAGTGGAGCCCTGCAGACAGCCGCTCCGGCCATGCGGGGCTACTCGAATGTCCTGCTGGTCTCCAACCTGAACGAGGAGGTGAGTGCAAGCCGTCCATATTATCCTGTAGTTAGTAAAGCTTTAAGTGCCGGAGGATATATTGCTTCAGCGTTTCAGCTTCCCTTATGAACATGAAATTAATTATTATAGCCTCGCATAATTGAAAAATTCCAACACAAAATCGACCTTTTTAGAGGCTAATTAGTTTGCATTTGATGTTTGCCTGACTTCTTTGACACGCGCATCAAGTGACGAGGAGCCTGATAGAAACTATAATTTAAATTAAACATTTCCCTCCTACGTACAAGCTTTTAGACGCGGGCGGAGGACCTCTCCCTCTACTCTCCGCCCGTTTTCCACTTCTCCGCCACAGTCTGTCTGAAAACACCTAATTATTTATCCTTATTTGTTGATTTATTATTTTTAGTACATCTGAAACAATCTATCGCTAACTGACGACAACTCTATTTTCTCTTTTTCTCTGTAGATGGTCACGCCTGATGCTCTCTTTACCCTCTTTGGTACGTCTGCACAAAACGATTACTCCTTAATAGCTGCTACTTTCAATTTTATTTTTTGTGTTCGGGCCAAGCTGGACCTCTCCACCGTCCCAGAAAGACAATAGCGAATAGCACCCGCCTGTAGTCCAGCTTGGCCCACGTACATTTGCATCTCCGCTAGCCAACTTATAGTAGTTTAGTTGACTCTTCACTGACCTGACCCTACACCGAGCGGGCCAGCTCCGAACTATGAGCCGCCAGCTCCCAGCTCTTAGCAGCGGAAGCTCCTGGCCTTTACACCGTTTACGTGCAATCAGCAAAAGTGCTATGAATTGTTGATTTCGGGGCGGGCCAAACAAAGTCGCAGCTAGCAGCTAGGAGTGCCAGAGCACGCCAGGCTTAAATTATTGAGATAGTCTTAAACACCGAGGACCCAGCTGGCATTTCGGCTGGTATGCAACTGGCGTTTGGCAGTTGCCACATAAAGTGCATCCGCCATGTGGGAAATACGGAATGGGGCCATCAACCGGAGGCCGTAAACTTGGCCGGGTGGCTCAAGAACTTGTCTTGCTGCGGCCCGGCTGCATACGATCATATTTCCCTGTCAGCCTCCGCGAATCCAATAATGCCCTGGGGCGAAGCATATACTGTGGTAGTTTAGAGCCCCGGCACCCGATCGGGCAATAATCCCACTCGGATGCGGTTTCCTGCGAGTATTTATCGTTTGGAAAGCAAAGCTAGTGGAAATGCGTTTCTAATGGGGTTTACCAGCAGCAGAGCCAAATCCTTTAGTGGGAGATACAAATGGAAATAGTTCTCGGTCTCGGCCACCCAGCTTGTCCTTCTGCCGCTTATCCTGTCATAAGTTCTGCTTACAAATTGTAAAACAATGAAAATGAGAATACACTCGACTGCCAGCTACCGTCCGTGCACGGCACGTATATTAAAAACCCAGTCCGGTCCTGGCAGTCATACCAGTCCCGGCAACAAGTGAAACCGCACTCAGGGAGGTGCACTGGATTCCCTGAATCATGCCCGGGCATCCTGTTGCTTCTCGGCTGTCTTCGAGAGTGCCATCCCTGTGTGTGTGTGTGTGAAATTACATGAATTAAGTGTGCTCGTGGCTGGTGTGCCATTGTTGGCCCAGGATCTGGCCCGAGTGTCTCAGGATGGGAGCTAAAATGCATGCACAAAACACATGCTCTGCCATGTGCTCATCCTGTCGCGCACACAAGGGTACGCACACAAAGCTCCGCAGCACCCAGCACCCAGCACCCACACCCCAACACCCAGACCCAAGCCCGCACACAAAAGATTGAGGGCGGAAGTGCATAGCTATAAAAATGTCCATTTATTTAGTTATCATTGCGCTTGTTGCTGTCGCCCATTGTTGCTTTGCGGCCTTGCCTTCTCGACTGTGTTGAGTACACTGAAACCGAAATGGGGATAAACGAGAAATAATTAAACAAGGATACTTGTACAAGTGATGGTACTTCTCGTACCACAGTACTTGATATTTCTAGAACCCATATCCTGGAAATCTGAAACGTTAAGAACAGCCTGCAAAGCCGGTAAGAGACTTTTCTCTTGGTGTGACTGTGCGGCTTCCCCATCAGTTTCATCCTTGATTTTTATATATACACCCACATATACACACCTTTTCCACCGCACACACTTCCATGATCATTGTGTAGTTTTTGCTGGCTCTTACAATTGAAATAAAATTTACTTGTGACTTTTCGTAGCTCGTTGGGTTGGTTAGCCGCTCGGTTGGCTGGAGGGCGGTGGGTGGTTTTCTCCCACAATGGAAAAGGCGACTGTCTCCTTGCTAGTTTTTCGTCTGGCGTCTGCCGTCTGTCGTCTGTTTGCCAAATGAATTTAACTAACTTTGTAAAGTTAATGGGGTTTGCTGTTTGAATTGCAGTGCCAGCATCCTCCGTGTGTGTGTGCGGTATTGTATTATTTTATGGGATTCCCAGTTGACTTTTCACTCGCACTGCATTTCTCCATTTGGCTTTCTCCATTATGTACTTCATTTAATTACCAGAATACATCGATTACACAACTTTCGACCATGTTTCCAAGTGTGGCGCCTAATTGCAACATAATGGATTTCGATGCCACAACTGTTGGGCTGTGTGTGTGTTTGCCCTTCTCCTGGGAAGTCGTCCTGGGAGACTCGGTTTCTGGTCGATTTTTTGCAGCGCACACGTGTGGATTAGTCCCTTCCCGTGTGTCGGTTGCCGTTTCTGACACAAAACGGTTTGTTTGTGGCCCCACAGAGCCGACCTTCCTTTGTTTGCCCGAAAATGCAAATGCAAATGCATTTAATTTAAGTTTAAATACTCAAATATAAACTTCTGGCAAACAAACGCAACCGCATGCAGGACACAGAGTCCCGAACACAGAATACAGAATGCAATTGGGAGTTAAGCCGCTTCTGGTCCTGAACTTAACCCTGTGTGCGGTTGCTCCTTTGTTTTATATTTGCAAATTGCATTCTGTCATCAGTTCGGGGCTTATCGCTCAAGGTAAACAAACTGTTGGCAAACGTATTAATTGCTTAAAAATGGTTTTTATGTTTCCCCCGGCCCGGCTCGGGGGGAACCACTTTTGTTGCCACAACTTTGAGCCACTGAGCCAGGCAGCCAGTGAGCCAGTGAGCCAGTGAGCCACTGAGCCGGCCAAAGCCGATCAGCAGACGCTCAGCCGACGGTGCAACAGCTAAAGTTACTCGAACTGGCAGCTGCCTGAACTGCTCATAAAGCTTAGATTGCTGATTAAACGCTCCAAAGGGCTCAGTTCGTCCCGTCCCGGCTGGATGCGAAGTGGCGTGCCCCGCACATGCCCCGCTGCCGGCAGCGATGAGGAGATGTCGATAAGTCGAACGCTAAGCGTATTATTATTGGGGTGCCAATAGATTTAGATAAACTCTGTCCCGTTTTCTCGTAGCGTCAAGAGCTATTCAAGCACCCAGCCAGCCAACCAGCCAGCAAACCAGCCAGCAAACCAGCCAGCCATGCAGCCATCCAGTCATCCAGCCAGCGTGTAATTGACGGCCAGGACTCCCGACGGGCAATCAGCCAAATGGGAGGCTAAAATTTTATGTAATAACCTTTGAATTTCCAAGTAGCTCTAAGCAGACAGCGGACAGACAGAAGCACCGCCAATGACACTTAAAGGAAAGCTTAGCTGCACGACAACCACGTACACTTCTGGAATGAGTCGAGAGTCTAGTCCGATCGAAGCTTGCGAATGTTTGCCAGCGATTATCAATGGCTGTGCAGCCATTGCAGAGCTCGGCGTTGAGCAATCCTAATTAACTCCCAACCAACGCCAAAAAAAATGGCCATGGTTGGGCGCCACAACTTTGGCCAGTGTAGGACAAGTCATGGGTGGCAATGGCGATTGGCAAACGGTGGATGGTGGCGGCTTTTGTTATGTTAATGGCGACACGCAGGAGGGACACGTAACAACAATTTTGCCACATGAGATGGGCTAGAGGCACTTTGGGAGGGGAGTTTAGCACTTCAAAGGGCCGGGCCGGGAAGGGCGGCGCGCTCACCTGAAAATTGTTTGCATACCAAATAGTAAAAGTGGCAAGCTCAGCGTCGGGACAAACAACGCACTCCAACCGGGAGTGCCGGGCTGGGGAGAGGATGGGGCGAGAATGGGGCTTGATCTAGCCGAAAAGCATCAACAATCGGAAAAGGCAACAAAAAGGGCAAAAGCCTCGAAAAGCCTGCGAGAACCCTTTGGATGGCAGAGTCGGACATTTTATTAGTTTTGACAGCGCTTTGCTGCGACGAAGACTCAATTGAAAGGCCTAGGGCCCTCTGGGGCATGCTCTTTAGACACTTGACACATGCCGCTTATCCTGTCAGGCATTCAATAAAGGCCTTGCCCCACTCACTGGCTAGCCCTTCCAGTCTACCCATCTCAAGGTTCGATTGCCCTTATTTGCGGGCTCGGGAGGGGGGGTGCTGGGATTGGGCCGGGTGGCTGGGTACCGCCTTTGCGTTTGCATAACAATAAAAGAAACTTAATAAGTCTGCAAATCGTCTGGGAAGCACAAGCCCCACACATGCCACATCGCTCCATTCGATTGCTTTGTAATCCGCTTATGTAATTGTAATGGCGTGATAAAAATTGATGTCACTGCCGAAAATATTGTCGAAACGTGTTTAATTGAATTTTTATGCGTTTAGATATCCGCATCCGGCGTGCGAAGCCCACTCGCATGTTATGCCTGTTATGCGCCAAATAATTTCATAAAATTTTATATGCTACATGTTGTGGCACAAATGCAATTTGACAAAGTGCCCGTAACAGCAAAAATTAAATCCAATGTGCAAATAATTCCAATGAATTTTTCATAATCGCAACAAATCGCTTTACAAACGAGTGCGATTGCGAGTGCTGATGAAATATAAAGCGTTTGAGCGAAGGCCATTATCAATGGTATAAATTCGAATTTTAGTGTCGCGAAAAATGAAAATTTAGAGAAGCGGCCGTGGAGGCTGCTGGCGGAACTTTGAATAGGAGGGCCGGCTAATGTGCCTCCGCCAGCCACATAACTCTTCATCTAGAGCAGGCCCCGGCACTCTAATGGGCCAGCGGGGAATAGCAAGCCGAGGCGTCGCTGTCTGCATATGTTAGTGTCGCGGATCCAAAGGCAAACCGAAAAAAAAAACGCAGATAAAAACTGCGGGAAAACATTCTCGCAAGTATAGGCGATAATAAATCATTATCAAGTCTGACGCTCGCAGGGAGTTGGCTCTGGCTGGGAATAGAATAGGGGCGGAGTCGGATTCAAACCGAAGCCCTTTGCATGGCTACCGGCAACCGACAACCGACAACTAGCAACCAGCAGCTGCTGCCTCTCATACGCCCCGTTGCACGGCCAGCTATGCCGGTTGCAGGTTTGCCAGTTACCAGTTGACTCCGTGCCGAGGCACAGAGGCAAGCTGAGGCCAATGGCATTCAATATGCTCCACTGCCAATGTCAGCCGCTCCACTGCTGTTGCAATTGCTGCTCCCGACTCCCGAAATTGTTCGACTCCTTGGCACACGGCACCGGGCACCGGGCACCGGGTACCGGGCACAAGGCTTGGCACAAGTCAAGCTCGCCAAACGGATAGTCAGTCAGTCAAGTAGCCAGTCGTCTGTATAAAATGGATTTACTGCCAACTGTTGAACTGTGTGCTCGGTCGGTCGGTCAGACGGACCTTCCTGCCAGGACTACTTACTACCTGCATTTCCATTGCTACTTTTGTAACTTGTTAGCGCTCCGCTCGCTTCGCTACGCTTCGAGAGGCTGGTTGGCAGGAGCAGGACCTCGCCTCCTCGCCTTTATCGCTCTGCGCTGCTTTCTGAGTTCTGCACTCAAAAAACTTGGTCAACTCTGAAATAGCTGGAAGGTGCGAGCGAAATCCAGATACATCCAGGTGGGGAGGACGCACTGCTCAGTTTCTCGAGGTGTAAGTTCCCTTCTCGAGTTTGCCTGGAAGTAGTTGAAAATTTACTTTGCGCATTATTCGATTTGTTGTCTTGGGCAGGACTGCACTTTACATTGTTTGCGTTGGGGCTATTTTTCCACTCGCACTAGCATTGCTTCTGGCACTGCTACTGGCACTGGCACTAGTAGCCTGCATCCGCCCCTCAGCCACCAACTCGACCGGCAACTATTTTTTATGCTTGATAGCAATTTGCGCCCGGCTCCGAATTGGCCGCTGATTGGCTGCGCACATGGGATGCTGTGGCCCAGGAGCAGATCGGAAATAAGTCACCCAAGGAGTCCAGCCACTGGAGGACTCTCGCACCGGGCAGCTGTCAAAGCAAAGTCTGGCCGGGCGAGCACCCACTTAAATTCTTAAAGCCCCTTGCCGAACTTAATGCACTGCTGCTGCCTGTCCCAGGTCAGTGCCAGCCAGGAGCTCCATATTCCATAGTTTTGCGGCTTAAGTAAAACCATAAAATACAATTCAATAACGCGTCCGCCGTGGCAGCCACGCTCCTGGTGCGACGGGCGCTGCCGAAAAGTTGCTGCTGTGGCTGCTACAGCGCACCGTGTTCGACGACTGTAAAATCCGTGGCCTTAAAACGGAATATGGCCGGGAAGCCAGCCAAAAAGTTGCAGGCTGCAGCCGCAGCTCGAATTGATGCTCGTAAAAATAGCGGAGCAAACTTATTGAGCCAGTTATGAGTTCCGTACATGATACTAGGGGCTTGCCCGCGGCAATAATGCGAGTGCTTTTCACTGATGCCACGAGGTGTGGCGGAAGGTGGAGCTGCCGGAGCCGTATAATGGCGGGGGATATTCCGAGCACATGTTATAGCTTTTTGGTGGGGTGTTGGCACGACCTTACAAACGCTTAAAACTGCCCGAAAATTAAAGCAAAAACCATAGCATACTTTTTGGGGCACAGGTGCTCGTTGGGAGCTAAGGACATCTCCCAATCGGAAGTCGAATGGACTGACAGTTAAGGGGTTATATACCTTCTTTTTCGAAGAAAAAGAGGAAAGTTTGAATTTTTTTTAGGTATGTAGCAATTATTTAATTACACGGATGTTTTAATATTTTAATAGTACACTTTATTAAGAATGTTTTTACAAAAATTTGGTGAAAAAATATTGAATAGTTTTTAAGGGGTGGCTGTTTTCCTTAGAGGCCTTTTTTTTTTTAGAGCCTTGCGGTGACAGTTCCCCAGGTCAAACAGGTCAACTTAAATCATAAAAGTAAAAAAATTTCATTAGTTTAGAGTTCTCTCTTGTGCTTGAACGATCGATTTTAAAATTTTTTGTTTTTGTTTCGATATGGCAGCGTTTTATGCTAAAAATGAACGTTTTGGTCTCTAGAAATTTCACTAAAAAATTTATTTCGCCGAAAAAAAATTTTGCGCGTGAAAAGTCGATCGTTCAAGCACAAGAGAATTTCATTACGAACATTTTAAAAAAAATTTGAAGTAAATCGGTTCAGTAGTTTTCCGTCAATCATTGTCACCGCAAAGTCATTTTTCAAGAAACACCATTTCGAGATATTCGCGTTTAATGTTTCAAGTTCAGTTCAAGACCGCAATGAGGCGCGCGGTTAGGAGCGCTGTAACTTTTTTTCTACTGCTCCAATCTCTATGAAAATTTGGGAAAATGTTCTCAAGGAATTGTTCTTTAAGATAAAGCAATAAAAAAATTTTCGATTTTTTGAAAATAAAAAAGGTATATAACCCCTTAAGTGACATGACACAGACATGTTTTTTAGGGCATAAGCTAGTAGTTTACAAGACGATGTAGCTTAATTCCAGTTGGCCCGCATCGGTGTAGCGCACAACACACCCGTTTACTGCCACACCGTCTCATATTTCTCACTCTGGCTTTCCCATTTTCACTTTGAATCCGCAGGTGTATACGGCGATGTGCAACGTGTAAAGATCCTGTACAACAAGAAGGACTCGGCACTCATCCAGTTGGCGGAGCCCCAGCAAGCTTATTTGGGTAAGTCAAACAAACGCACTACCATCGCACCATCGCGGCGCTAACCCGCCGACTATATCTGCATGAATACCCATATATATATATATATATAGACACCCCCAGTCGAGTTGAACGAAATGAAAGTAATGAAAAATCCGAGTCTGAATCTGGGGGGTCCGAGAGGCGTCTGAAGGCAGGCAGTGGGCAGAGGGCAGAGGAGCACTGCATTTTGCAGCTTGTTTTAAATGAAAATTCCAGCATCATGAAATTCCAAACGGCGCATTCCTTTGGCAACCGTAACCATTGCTCCGGATGATGCTGCTCCCGACTGCTCCTGTTTTTGTTGTGGTTGCTGTTGTTTCAGCTGCAAATGCTGCAAACAAAATGTATTAATAATAAAAATGGCCCTGGCGCTGGAGAGAGTGGGCCGGGAGGAAACTATAACTGGCAGTGCGCATAAATGAAATTTTATAAGCGCTTTATTACCAACCGACAACACCTGGTGGTCCAGTTCCAGTTCCAGTTCCAATTTCCTGGCGTTTCCCATGATGGCCGCAAGGCGACAAAGGCACCTCCTGCTCGACGGGACATGCCAATCATTTTATTGCATTTATTTGTGTGCACTTTGCCATTGTCCGGCGCTGGCTGCCGCTGGGCGTGAAGGACTCCAGCCAGGACTGCCCGGGAGCTCTGCTCCGCTCCGAGTCCCAATCCCCATCGTACCCCCATCGCCCTGCCGCCCCATGCGAATTAAACGAAATGAAAATTGTCGCGCATTGCGAGGCGTTAAGAGCAACCAACCGACGTGCCAAATTCCACTTTATTACAAAAACAGGAGCAGCGGCTTCGCAAAGTGGCAGAGGCGGCGGGACGATTGCGATTGAAGCGCTGACAGGCGACAGCGACACCTTTTTCAATTTCGATTTGGTTTTATTCCATTTAACACGCCAACTATCCAGTGGAGCTTCTCCCACGCCCACTCCTACGACCACTACCACGTCCAGGTCCGTGCACTTCCCGCCGGGGAGATCGAAGCTCGGGACTCATTGTTCCCACCCAGCGGTGCGTGTCTTTCATTTGTGTTATTTATTCATCGAAAAATAACTCAGAAGCTGTCACAGCGCTCGCCCTGCAGGACGGCTCTTAATTGAAACCGGCAGCGGCACACAATCGTCCGGCTGTTGTCAGTATCCTTGATCTGAAGGAGCTGCAGGAGATTATTAGTAAAAGGAATGCGGGCTGCACTGAAGGAGGCTTTCATATGCAATCCCGAGCTTGTTAGCCATCTATGCCCATTCGAGGGGCAGGTGCATCGCCACAGCCACGCCATTGCCATCAGGCGTTAATCGTTCGAATACGTAATTTTTTAATTATATTTAACGTCACGATTCCATTCAGTTCATGGGCTGCAACTGCTGCTGTTAATAAAGTTTAAATAAATTTAATCTGCTCAATAAATGCAATGTGCCATCGCAGCGGAAATTGCCTGCAAATTGCGCGCCTGGCAAGCGTAAGGTACTGCATAATGAATGCCATCAACTGTTTATTGATTTAAATAAAAAGAAATAAAGTGCGCCGCAATGACTGCCCGGCGGCGATGATGCCCGCATCCATACATGCGTAATGTCCTTAGGGCGCTCCTGTAAATCCGCTGGCCAACTATCCGCTGCCACATCCGCATCTGCGGACTACATCCACCGGCCTGTCCCGAGATGCAGAGCCGCCTGTTCGCTACAAATATGCTTTGTGCTGCAGTCAATTAATTTTTAAAACATCAATATGCAAATATGCATATTTCCCAAGTTCGGAGTGCGGCTGCATCCTGCGGTGTGCTCGCGTTCTTCGCTCCCTGTTCAAAGGCATTCTCGCTTTGTGTTTTTCTGGTTTAATTAATTGCGTTAACCCAGCTGAACAATGTCTGGAGGGATGGGGATGAGCATGTGGATGTGGGTGGAGATGGAGATGGATAGGGGAAGAAAAGCTAATCAACAGAAACCCCGCATGCATTTTTTTGCTCCTCCCCGGGGGATATATCAGAGGCACAGATGGAATCCGGTGTAGACTCGTACGCGTAATGTTGGGTTAATTGAATTCGTCCAAAATTGACAGAACTGGCAAGTGGACCACAAATACCGCCACAGGCTGTAGTTGATAAAACTATTGTCCGGATTCTACGCTAGTGAACCGACAAAACCAAAGCCAGTCAACTGTTTGCCCAAACAAGCAAATTATTGTGTGAAACTAGGAAGGCAACACCCGCTCCCCAGTTCGTGCCCCAGCGCACACCCAGCCGTTTGTTTTCGCCAACGGCCCACACCCAAAACTGTGCTTGTGTGATGGGGGGGAGGGGCCAGCCAACGGTCTCTGGGAATGCGAAAATATTAATGGACGTACAGCAGCATATAGACTACTAATGTGCCGCAAGGACTGCCAAATGGCACACGCTTCCGCTGCTGCCTTTCGCTAGGATTCAACCCATTTACACTGAGAACGAACTCGAACGTTATGGCAAGTCTTCTTTCTAAACCCACCGGCGAAGCTCACGAGATGAGTCGGTCCTTTTTCTGAGTGGACCCACCAACCCGGACACAGGTAACCGGTCTGGAGCGGAAGCCCAGTTCGGGGCGGGAGTGCGCACTTATGCACTCATAAAATATTAACAAATTCATTCGTTACTTTGCCCAAAACTCTCGCCAACTCCGACAAACAAAGACGATTACCGCACAAGGGTGTGAGATGGAGGAAGGGTGGGCAGCCAGGAGTCGAGCGCCCGGGTCGAGCCGGAGCTAGGGAGGCAGGGGCAGCAGCTGTCCAAGCCACCCTCCCCGTCCCATGCATACGAAAGTGTCTCGTAAGGTGGTGTGCGTTATGGCAGGGCCCCAAACAAAATACGGCTACAATTGCACACTCAGCATACGAATTACAGCGTAAAGGCGAAACAACTTTCGCAAGTGAACTCAGAGGGATGGGGGCAGTGGACGATGGGAATCTTCTGATGGAGCGGACCCCGACCAGGGCCGAACACACTGCGACAGCAATCAGAGGGCACTGGAGTTGGGGGCGGGGATCGCTGGGAAATAGACAAAAACACTCAATGAAAAAACAATAAGCAGAGCTCCCAGCCCAGACCCGGAGAGCCTCGTCCCGGCCACTTGGTGGGCAGTTCGAGGTGTGTGACGGGGGACACTGTAATGACGCATTTTCTGGGTGGAAGCCCAGAGACCCTGAGACAGTCGGGGGGGTGACGAGCTTTGGGGGATTAAGTTTTTGCACAACTTATGGCCAACTATGGACAGACACCCACTCTCGCAGTGGCCGAATTTATAGGCTCACTCCCACCACCCCACTCACAGCAGTCCCACACACCCCAGCCCTCGCTCCTCGGCAAATATATTTCCTGTTTGCCGAACAAATTACTACAAAATATTCTGCATAAGCGTACGCATAAGGGCATTTTCAATGAAAACAAACAAACTGCCAACAGAGGCAGCGCACAGGCCCACATCCCTATTGCCATATATTATACGGTCGATTACGCATACGCCATGTGAGCCGGTGAGGGCAGGGAGTTCGGTTCGGTGAAAGTTTTCCTGCTCTCCGTTCTCGGTGGGTTGACAATGCTAAGTGACTGTTTGAAGGACTTGGTGCCCAGCCCTCAGCAGACCACAATTAATTACCGAGCCAGCAAAACTAGAACCGAATCCGCATCCGCATCCGAATCGGAGGATGTTTCGCATAGTTTACGAGCCAGAGATAATAAAGTGTCTGGCTAGTGTTGCCGTAGATCATAGTCAGGAATGGCTCGACATTAATCGTTCAAATCAGGGAAGATACATGCAGCAGGTGCCTTGTAACCACCTTCACTTGGATTGCGGCTCACCTGGACCATCTGGCCCTGAGTGGGGTTAGTCCCAAGTGTATGGTGCTTAAAAGTCTTAAGCTAGAGACGTTACACGTGAACCCCTCGAAGGCTCATTTACGAGTCATTTCACTTACTTTTCGGGTCTGCTTTACCCCTTCCCTCGTAGCCCTTCGACCTGCGCCCTTTTGTTTTCGTAAGTTTATAATAATTTTGAGGCCAGCTATAATTTTGGTCAGCAAACTCGGCCTCAGCAACGGCCCCAGTCCCAGCCCCATCCCCAGCCCCAGCCCCAGCTCCAGCCTCGTAATTAAAAGTTTAGGATACTTTTTGAGACGGGCCGAACAGCAGAAGCAGCAGATGTAACATTCGTGCTCAGTGTTTGGCATTTGCGGGCAAAGTTGTGGCCCCTTCCGCGGCTGACTCTCCAAAAAGTGTCTCGCCTTCACATTAATCTTTATTACAAGTGTCTGTCATACAGCCGGGAATAAAAAAAAAAATGGTGTTCGGGCCATATGAGCAGCCCAATCTTTGTCACTGCTGGCGCGCGCTCCTTTATTTTACAATTTATTATATTCGTGCGCTTTGCTTTTTTTGTAAAATCATTTAATCCATTAGGCAAACAATAAATGGCTGAGTAAGCATGTTGCCTCACAATGAAACACTGGGCCAGTGATAAAATGTGATGTAATTTATTAATATAATGCACACCATGAGAATTGAGAAACTCCGAAAGGGGACTTGGACGGACAGTGCCCCTGGACTGGACAGGGCCCTGGAAGTCGGATGACTTGGCGCAAAGCTGGAATTAAATAAAACGTAATCGAAGCTCAAATAGAAATTGGAATGGAAATTGAATTGTATTTAAGTACATATCCTTGTTGCACATGCATTCCATTCCGATTCCATTTCGAGTGAGCCTCAGGTGTTATGACTACCCAGAGCTGGGGGAAAAAGGCAACAGTCCGTCGCAAACTTGCACTGCAGCGGAGGCCCCCGTTCAGGGGGAGAGGGACTTTTGTTTGGTAATACTTTTATGGCCAAACAAGCATTTCAAGCTCGAATAAATCACCAAAGGCAGACGACATTGATAAAGTTGCAGTTACATTTCAGTATGTAAATATTTGCCCTTACTTATTGCTGACTTTGTTCGTTGGCGGCAAGGCGGCATCTTTGGCGGCACTGAGAAAAGTGTCTTTCAAACTCGCGTCTCTCAAGCGCTGAGACTGGGTCCTAGACACAATTATTACAGGATATCCGGACGAACTTGGACTGGGTCTACATTGCGGATAAAGTTTTCCGTGCCTGCCCCTCAGTATCATCACGCAAACAATTTTATAGCCTCTGAAGAAGCGTATAAATTACATTGGCACAGCTCCATTTATAGCCCCCCATATCCTAAGATACAACAGCTTTTTACCCATTTTAATGTTTTGTTTCGTTTGTTTCTGCTTCACAGCTATGTCTCACCTTGATAAATTACGTTTATGGGGCAAGCCGATACGTGTGATGGCCAGCAAACACCAGGCCGTGCAGCTGCCCAAGGAGGGACAGCCGGACGCCGGACTCACTCGTGACTACTCCCAGAACCCGCTGCACCGCTTCAAGAAGCCCGGCAGCAAAAACTACCAAAACATTTATCCGCCATCGGCGACACTGCATTTAAGCAACATTCCGTAAGTATTCCACCTGATGAGAAGGTTAAAGCGGCAAGGTGTGCGAGCGCAAGGACCCGCGTCTGAGGCTGAGGGGCCTTTGGACAGGACGACAAGGCAATTACAATTACCGCTATGAGCCGGCAGACACCCCGCGTGGACCGCGTCTGCCGAATATGACAAAGCGCCCCGCCAGGCCAGAATTCACTTTGGAAATGGGGGGCGGCGATAGAGAGGACACGGGCTGCGGAATGGTGTCTGCCCTCTGCGTGAATTTATGAGACGGGTCCTTGGTGCGCCACCTGCCAGGCGGAATCAATGAACCTGCCGCACAGCAGGCAGCCACCTCCACCCACACAAAAGCACCCTTAAATCGATGACTGTTAATTTGAAACCGTTCTAATGTTCTGCTCTTCCTCCACAGCTCTTCCTGCTCCGAGGACGACATCAAGGAAGCCTTCACCTCGAACAGCTTCGAAGTCAAAGCATTCAAATTTTTCCCGTAAGCTTTTGGGTTTATATATATATGGAGTGTATCTGATTTATATTTAAAATTGCAGCAAGGACCGCAAAATGGCGCTGCTACAACTGTCATCTGTGGAGGAGGCTGTCCTGGCGCTGATCAAGATGCACAACCACCAGCTGTCCGAGTCGAACCATCTGCGCGTGAGCTTCTCCAAGTCGAACATCTAGAATCCGATCCGTGGTCAGGTTCACTGAACCTGACTGGGTGCAAACGGCAGCTACATGCACCACCATCAGCTTCAGATTTACTGGCAACAACAGATTCAATCTATAATCCGTAGTACAAGAAGGATGCATGCCCACTTTAATTGAAGCTTCCGGTCAGAACCGGAGGAGGACAGGAAGCCAGATCAAAATCCCGAATCAAATCAGATAGAAATGAAATCAAAACCCACACTCAACCCAACCGATCAACCAGCGGCAACAATCGATGCATGAGCTATACCAATTTTATTCAGAGAATCTAACCAGCCCAGGAACGCGACTGTTTTCGAGTCCTTCCTGGCAGCTTATCAAAATTTCTTAAAGAGACAAGCGCAAAAGTTAAATAAATATACACAATTGAATTAGGGGAGTATATAGTACATACAGAGAGGGGAAAATCAAAACAAATCGCATATGCAAACCACAAACAAACAACCCACTAAACAATCAGCAACACCGTAAGTTAAGCATAACTTTAAAACTATAGTTTCTAAGTACTTGCATCGCATATAAAGATTAAAACAAATGAAAACTAAACATTTATAGAGATGTTGTCGAGATGTATGTTTAACGTGAAGGAAGCGAGGTTCGCAACTTAGATATATTTTTAGTGCACTGTACTGTGTTTTGGTTTTAAAAAACGACAGGTAGTCAGAGACAGAACAAAAAAAAAAAAAGAAGGAGAAATTACGTTAAAAATGAATTAGGAAACGTTTTATTATGTACATGCTGTTATTATATTTTAAAGGAAGAAGCAACTTAACGTTAATTTTTTACAAGTATGCGAAAGAATTGCTCGTAAATGTTTTTCATTTTGTAGAATTAAAATATTGGGGCCGGATGGGGAGGCAGGCAGGAGGCCCAGAATTGCACACAGAGTCCTAAGCCGTAAGCGCAATGAATTAACGTAAATGAAACTTAAGAATTATTTTATTACGTTTTAAAGAAACCTATGGAAATCGCAAGCGTGGGCGTCTGCGGGGAGTACCGGCATCGGTCGGTCGCCCGGCACGTCCCTTTGATTAGCATCGTATAAAGCGAAATAATAATTTTAAATGGCAGTTAAATCAACGTGTACGTAACCCTTTGTGTGTGTATGTATATGTAAGTGTTGTTAAGCTAGCGCAAATTATACACAATCGAATATACATATGTGCATATGCAAGTACATATGTATTGAACTACAACAAACCATGAAACAGGAAATTAAACAAATTTTTAGATACAAACGTGTAATCTCAAGAAAAGTTTAAAGTAAAGGATAATTATATTTAATCATAGGCGTAACGATAATGAAAGACACGTGTTTTAGAAAACAAAACTGAATGATTTTTTGATAATTTTACAACAGACACCATAAACACATATTTAAACATGCAAAAAAACATTTACACATGGTTACACAAAACAAAAACAAAAAAACAAACAAAAAAATGAAAAAAAAAAAAAACAGATAACTAGATACAGACAGAAGGTTTATATAAGTATATTTAGAAAGTGAAATTATTTATACGTTGGCGCAAAAGAACAAACGAACCACAGACAAAAATTGATCAGAACAGAGAAAGCAACTAATTATAATTAAAATTATATGAACTTAGCTGGTAAGCATAAGTAGCAGTGATCGTAATTTAAAATTAAAACGGAGAAACACACAAAACACAGAGAAAACAAGAAGTGAGCATCGATTCGAGTCGAGTCGAGTCGATAAGAATTAAATGAATGAATATATTAAAGCTAAAACGTGTACGAAAAGCAACAGTAAAATATTGAACATTTATTGAAGTACTACATTACATACATTTATCAAAACCAGTCGCAGGCAGTGCAGAAACCGAAGCATATACACAAACAGTAGCCGTAAGATGGTTGAGACCAGGAGCAGCCGAATCAGAATCAGATAATAGTTTAAGGGGCCCGACAATTACACTCCCTGTTACACTGTGACTCTCCCGGCTTAGAGAAAGTCTTACAAAACTCTTGAACAAACTCTAGCGTTTCATATATACATAATGCAAGTAGCTATCTATCATAACCTTACCCTTATACCTATTTATCATACTCACATACATATGTGCTCTATATCTATGTCTACTACTTATATACATATACCCTATACACTGTATACACACGAGTTGTGTTAGCGCATCGATGCAAGGTAAAGCGATACTGATATGGACACTATATACATACATACGTCTGTATCGGATCCACGACTGCTAGAATTTCAAACGAGAACTGTTGACAAATCAAAATTTCATAAATATTTAGCAAACTCAGCTCTACGAAAGTGCATCAACCGTAGGGAATACGTGCACCTCTAACCCTTCCCCTGCACTATATAGACCACGAAACCTTAAAGTCAGGAAAGACTATTGAAGAGATAGGACAGCTGGACAGGAGCTGTCCTTTGGTATGCAGCGTTAAAAGCATAATCAAACATTTAGCCCAACGATAATATACATAGATACAATGGCGCTACAGCGTGCAGATGTTGATAGTGAACAAGACACCGATCAAACAGCATTCGAATTAATATACATAACTAAAAGAATTGCAATTGATACAAATATACATTAAATTCTGATAACAGATACCGATACACTACAGATACAAGTGACGAATTAGCGGCGAGGAGATGAGGAGGTGAGACGAGTAGACAATGCAGCTATTTGACAAAACAGTACACTAAAAGTATTACTTTACCAAGTAGATTTACACAACTAATAATTAATTTACAATTAAATTGACAAACCCCGAGTGGAGAGAATCCAACGAGAACATCCGTTGATGATAGAGCGTTGCTATGTTGGCCAAGAAAGGCGGAGACCGTCGAAAAGGATCTCTGCACTCTTGAATAGAAGCCCAAAAGCCACCAAGTTGGTAAATCAGTTTTACGTTGAAAGATAACTACCATTTGCAAAGCGATAGAAATTTTACCAAAATGCAGTAAAGTCAAAAAGTGAAGCATATTAAATAAAGACTAATCTGAACTATACATACATATACTTACATGCGAAGGCGATACGGTAATAAAACGAATAAAGAGTACCCTCAGTTCAGTACCCACGAATGCATACATATGTGCTACTTTTACCATTAGACGAATTCAGAGATATATATGTAATTGTAGCTATAACTATATATATATATATATAAATTGATGAATGGGGTGCATCAAGTGAGAAAAGACTCGAAAGCAGCCTTGAGAGAGCAGTGAAAGAAACCAGGATCATATTTTACTTCAAGAAACCACATGCGCAGACATATATATACATGCCACAGCACTTACAGAAGACATATCAACATTATTTGGCATACGGCAAGTACATTTTAAATCCGCAAAAAGCCCACCCCTCCCACTCATTTCAGTTAACGTCATTTTACACAAGTTGAGTAACAAACTTAAGGGGGTATTACAGGTCAAATACGAGTAGTGTGCAGCTCACGTTACAAATTGTTAGTTTGGGAAAAAGTCTAAAGTAAATAATGTATGTATTTTAGGAAAAACTGACCGAAAATGTCATTAACGGAGCATAGAAAAATTCATAGTTTGTGTTGGGAGTATAAAAGGAACCGAGTACTAAGCCAATTACATATACTTATTTGTGCATTTTGTGTTAAAGGTTTTGAAATCAGTTAGGTATTATTGATAGGAAAAGTGTCGTGTGCGGTTTTAGCAATGTCCTAATGAAGCGCAAATTAAAAAGTTGTTACCATAGTGTTTTGTTTGTTTTTTTTTGGTACAGAAAGAACGATCCAAATGCTGCTTTATATATGTATATGTAGTCAATTGTTTTTCAGTGCACGGGAATTGCGTTTTATCACAAATTATTACAGAACGTACGTTGAAAACAGGACAACAGGCAGAAGTTCCTACTTTTTAGTAAAAACGGTTAATGGTTAAAGAAACTTAACTTTAGTAAAACTTGCGGAAGTAAATTTAATACGGGAAACGGATAAATATAAAGTAATTTTAACTTGAAAATTTGTCGATTCGATCGTCCCATTTCCTTCTTACGCTTGCTTTACCAAAGTTTTATTTTCATGGTCTTTCTAAAAACACTTGTGGTGCGGTTTTTCATAGGTCAGGCATTATTGCGAAATTTAAAAAGGGTCCAACTTTTAACTATTAAACAAATAAAACAAACCTAGTGAGGGTATCGAAGGTACTTAAACAAATTAGGCGACGGCGATCGGCGATCGGCCACTTGCACGCGATTATTTGTTTTATTGGAACCCGGTCTTCAGGAGATATATTCTCAAAGAGAATAATGTCAGTCACTACACAACTCTCACTTCACGCAGGTATTAATTTTTCTGAATCGTTGCAACTTTCGAGTGTCAGCAACTGAGAAAAATCGTAGAATCCTCCCCTGAATCTTGACTCTTAACTGCTTAACTAATCCAACTGCGAATAGGCACACGCGAAACAATCAAACATTTCTTAAATAAAATTTTTAGTATACACCAAGCAAAGAAAACTTTTGTGCTCTCTAATTGTACAATTTAAAGATAATACAACCAATTAATCATTTTACGCTCTTAACAAAAAACTAAACATGAACTACAGGCGACGTTTATGTAATGGAAATTTTTTCTCACCAAATTTTACTACAAATCTCTTAAGTGTATTGTATATAAGCAGAAAATTGAAATCAAATGAAGCAAATTGTATTAGTTTATATATTTATATATATATATATATATATATATACATATATATAAATATATATGTGAATATATATATATATTGTATTGCGGCTGCAAAAGAAAAACAATTCATCGCATGAATTAAAATTTAGATGCAGCTACGCGCTCTTAATTTTTAAAAACTTAATGATACATTTTCATTATGAAATTAAAAATCGATGGCATGAATGCAAATGCGGGGATTAAAGTAAATTTATGAAAAATTCAAGAATTATCTTGCTGAGCTGAAGAAACCTAGAACTAAAGGGTAACAAAGACATAATATGGCTCCTAAGTGGAGGTGGAAGGCTGCAGGCTGCGGCGTTGGCATCGAAATTTAAATGGAAAGCAGCAATGAGATTG